GTTCCGAGGGGGAGGTCAGGGAGGGAGAGCCTGAGGGAGAGGCGCTCGGTGAACCACGGAGCAGGGCATCGCGAGGTCGAGAAGTGGGCGTACCAACCTCACGCAGACAGTGGTGATGTGTTTCCTTCCATAAGTGTGGCGTCCGGGACTAGAACTAGTAGTGACGAGAGCTTCGCCGCGCTCGAGAGGTATCGCAGCTTGTCCTTGCTGAAGAGCACGGCGAAACAAGCGTCCGGCGTACAAAGCGACGGCCGGAAGCGAATCCGTCGGCGGGGAGACAAGCTGCTGGTCGGCGGCGGCGATCACGACAACAACAGCTTATCCGGCGCCTCAGCTGCCGGCTTCCAGACGGACATGCCGAAGACGATGAGGAAAGACCCTTACTCGGAAACACCATCCACTGCCCAGCCGGACGAGTTGAACGAATGCTGTCGTAACATGTACCCGCAATACTTCGTCTACACGTGGGTGCTGTGCATGGTGGCGCTGGCTTCGTTCCTCAAGCTCAACTACCTGGTCAAGACGATCGTGCTGGTCTTCATGGTCACTTGCTATGGCGTTCTCATACTGAAATTCCGGAACCTCTTCTGTATGCAGGATGGGTAAGGGTCTCCATCGTGGTTAATTTGGATTAGAATTTGTGACTTTGGAGAATTATTTAAAACCGTGATTCTCTTACTGAATTTAATCATGCATGTTAAGAATTTAAACACAAGCTAAAACAAAAACAAAAACGACATAACAATAGCCAAAGTATTAAGTATTATCATTATCTCCTTTATAGATGATGAACGTTTAACAACCACAGACACCACAATCACCCCATCATTGTCCACATCACATACATCACGGCCACTTTATTAGTCGTCAGATCAACTAGAATTCTCCACCACATTACAATATCACAAAGTCGTTTTAGCACACCATTATACTCCGCTGCAACACTATCCACCGCCGGAACGTCTGCAGTCACCGAACCCCTCTCTCCTTACCTTAACCCCCTCCCCTCCCCCTCACCCTAACAGCGAGACCGACCCGAGCCACAGTGTCGTGACGCCCTCGAGTGTGATCAGCCTCCCGGCGAGGATGGGCGTGCTCCTGGTGCTTTTCTTCTTCATGGTGACGTACCACGGGCGTCTGGTGGAGATCACGTCCCGCCTCGACTTTGTGTGGAAGCAGCAGGCGGTGAGGGAGCTCGCGGACATGGGGGAATGCCGGCAGTACAACAACCAGCTGCTCAAGAATATCCTTCCCGATCATGTGGCTGCGTACTTCTTGTCTGAGGATAGGAAGGGAGAGGTAAGGAAGGATGGCTGCGGATAGGAAGGGAAAGGTAAGGGAGGATGGGTGTGGAAGGAAGGAGAGACGTGGAAGTAGGAAGGTTAGGCAGAGAGAGAAAGTAAGCTGAAGGAAGAGGAATAGGAACATGCTAAGGATAAGATCAGGGTCAAAAGAAGGAAAAAAAGGGTGAAAAGAAAAACGGGAGACTGTAGTTAAAAGAAATTGAAGAGGAGTGGGAGGATCAGATAAGAAAGAACTACACTCAGTATCACCAAGAGAATTATAGCAAAGCAGCAACTCCATTTACAAAAAAATCCCAATCAACAATAATTAAAAGAACCAAACGAAACGTCCTTACAAACATCCCCAACCTCTTCAACAGGAGCTGTTTTCCAAAGCCTACGACAACGTGGGAGTTCTCTTCGCCTCGATACCCAATTTCACGCAGTTCTACTCCGAGGACGTCAACCGGGGAATGGAGTGCATCAGATTGCTCAACGAAATCATCGGTGAGTGACGGAGCACCTGTTGGTAATGACTTTGTAAGTGTTGGTAGTTTACATGACTGCATATTGATGATTATAGGTCTCAGGGAGGATTATAGTGGGTTTGATGAGTATGGTTGTAAATGATAGATATGATGGTAAAGGCAGTTATTGCAGCGATCGTGTTTTGTATTTAGTGATGTATATTTTTATGTAATATAGTAAACGATACCAACAACAAAGAACAATATTTGAAGACAATCATGAGAGCAAACATTAAATTTACTTTACTCTTCCCATATTCAACCCCCCCCCCCCAAAAAAAAAAAAAAAATCATTAACATAATTTACAAAAAGGAAAAAATAACCTGAAGTTAGCCTAGAAATAAGAACAACAAAATATACGATATTATTTTTTCTTTCCAGCGGACTTCGATGAGCTGCTGGACGAAGACAGGTTTTCATGCATCGAGAAGATTAAGACAATAGGAAGCACGTACATGGCGACCTCTGGTCTCAACCCCACGGCTAAGGTTAGTGATAGTGATAGTGATGATTGCGATGGCGATCGTGATGAAGTTAGTTATGATTGCAGTAGGTAAGTTAGTGCGATAACAGTGATAGTGATGGTTGTAGTAGTGATACCGATGGTGTAAGATTGTGGTAATATCTTCATAACAAAGGTTTGATTAGCTTAATGTTAATGAGAGTGATACTGATGAATGTTAATGTTC